CAAAGTCTTCCAATATTTTGCAGAAACAAATAAATTCTAAAAACCAATGAAATCCAGTTTCCTTGAATATCAACACTGAACACGCGAGAAGCTCTGTTAACATCATGATGGTATGGTTTTATTGAAACTGATCCATTTCAATATTTAACACTACTATCTGTAAGTTTTCCTGAAATATGTCTGCATATTTCTAACAGCAACCTTCTAGAATGATAATAATACACAAAAGTATAGTGAAATAGTGGAACTAACGAAGGATCTATACCTGTAAAACAATTTTCCAGACATCTTTTAGTAAAATACGATAAAACTCTCTTCTTTGCTCCTTAATTCATTTCCAGTAATGTTTATGGATAATTTCTTAACCACTATAATTTGCTTAGCACATGATCAGACCAGTCTACATGTGTCGTGTGGATTTGGAGAAGGCATTGGACCGCGTCCCTCGGGGGGCCCTGTGGGGGAGTATGGGGTACCAAGTCTCTGTATGACCGGTCTCAGAGCTTAGGCCACTCAGCCGGCACTAAGTTGGGCTCATTCCCAGTGAGAGTTGGACTCCCACAGGGCTGCCCTTTGTCACCGATTCTGTTCATAACATTTATGGAAAGGATTTCTAGGCGCACCAAGATGTTGAGGGTAGAGGTGTGCCAATGTAGCCTCAAGAAGCTCTTCGAAGCATTATCTACTGTTCCGATAGATAATGCCGACTCAGGCAAACCCAGACTATTTGTAATCAGTCACGTGGTTTTCTGCAAAATGAAGCAAGCCTCAAAAGCGGGGCTTTATGGACACGCCACCTTCCTGCTCGATACAAGCCTCAAAGCCTTGCTTCGTTTATCCCATCACTAGTTGAGGGGATCTTTTTGGTGACTTAAGGATCTGGTCTCTGCTTTTTGCAGATGATATGGTTAGGACACCTCCCTGGTGAGATTTTCTGGGCACATCCAGACCTAGGGCACAATGGGATTATGCTTCTCGGCTGGCCAGGGAACGCTTTAAGTTACCCCCGGAGGAGCTGACCCAAGTGGCTGGGGAAAAGGAAGTCAGGGCCTCTATGCTTAGGCTGTTGCCCTGTGACCCAACTCCGGAAAAGTGGATGAAAATGGATGGATGGATGATCAAACTTTTCAGCGGTACTGAGGTTAAGACTGGTGAATTTTAAGGCCAAATAAGACATATGGAGGTGACACAATCTACAAGAAATATATTCATTCATAGAACAACTGTTTAAGAGCAATCTGTCTATTTCACATTTTTACAGGCTGATAGCACTTCCTATTGCTAGGTAACTGACCTTAATGAGCAAAATTGATTTTTCTTTAATCAAAAATAGATCTACGGCATGGAAATCCCTGACCTTTAAGAAACTGGTTTCATAAAGTTAGAGAAATAAGGCAAGACAGTGGATGGTAATTTACAACTTGGGATCATTAAACATCTGCAAAGTGCAGCTGCAGAAGCTGAGTAGCATGATGTGTGTTTTTAAACTTTAGCGCAATGGGCCTAAAAGTCTGTGATCAGCAGTAAAATCTTGCTTGCAGTGATACATCTTAGAGGGCAATCAGTGTAATGGTCTGGAGTAGTGTGAGGTTAGCCTGTGTTTATTTATAGAGCTCATCACAAGGCCTTACATTGGCGGGTAGGCTTTGTGGCGTGAGAGCGTTAGCGGTTTTCACTACCTTACATCTGCTCTTCTCTGCAATCTTTGGTTTCACAACTCTTCGAGCATTGGCCACATGCTTAACCTTACTCCTTCACTCCTTTCTGGGAGTGAAGTTTATTCACTCTTTGATCAGACTGGATCGTGATTAATATTACCAGACACATGCTATACCACATAAAACTCCAGACAGTGCAGACTTTCATCCGTGGTGAACTACCCCTTAAATGACTGTTTCAGTGCAGCGCCACCATTTATCTCTGTGCTGTTCATTTTGTTCTGTCAGATTCATTTTGACACTTGTATGTAAAATGAGCTTTATAATTTGATAGTTTGTTATGGATGCCACTAGCACTAGCATGATATATTTGAATAAAGGTTAGTGCTCTGCACTGGGTCTGACTACCAATTAGCATAAATGTGTGTTTCAGAGGCAGCAGTTTCCACGGTAATCCATCAACAATAAAAGGACCCACACTAAGAAGCATACCCTAAATAGTGTTGTAAGTCACTGCGCTGTATATCAGACAGACAAATTACACATTCAAAATGGGGAAATTGGCTCCAGATAGCAACAATACAACTATAAGCCGCTGTTTACAAAATACTTATCAAGTAATTACTTTTAGACATTAACATCTGTTTTGAAGCATTTAAAACATTGGCCATTTCTCCCTCTGGAGTTTTTCCCAAAGTAACTGAAATGCTTGCAAAGTTTAGCCTTTCTGGATATTTAAAAAATAATGGACTTTAATGATCTATTTCTTCAAATTTAATTTGAACTAAATGTTACCCTGGATGAAGTGTATACAGCCAGTGGGCCTTACTGGCATATGACTTTCAAAAAGTGGTAGATCGTATGACCTGATGTAAAAAAAAACATAAACATATATAAACACACGTGTGTATGTGTGTGTGTGTGTGTGTGTGTGTGTGTGTGTGTGTGTGTGTGTGTGTGTGTGTGTGTGTGTGTGTGTGTGTGTGTGTGTGTTTGTGTGTATGTTTATGTGTGTGTGAATGGGTGAATGACTGATTATGTTGTAAAGCGCCTTGGGGGGTTCCAGGACTCTAGAAGGCGCTATGTCAAATACAGGCCATTTACCATTTACCATACCATGAAGGGAATTTGCACCACATATTTTTAAATGCACATATATTGTTGAAAGGATGAGCACAATTTAATCACGGTAGGTGCACATTTAAAGCAAAAAAACAAGAAATAATTGGTATAGTTCAATATTTACAAGTTAGATGGATGCTAAAGAGGATCAATAGTAGCTCAAAGGGCTTTTGCATAAACTGTTTAAATAAACTTCCTCTGGCTTTATTAGAAACCAAATGATCCTTGTCTTGTGCTGCTTAAGCCAACTTAGCCACTGAATGATTGGCCAGAGAAAGAATGTTATATTGGGAAAGAAAATCACTATATGAAGTAAGTTAATACCCACACACAAGTAAAATATGCCAAAAATGGTAATAGCATTCCTTCATTAATGGTTACAATTGTTGGGTGTTTTTTTAAGCCACATCGTATATCGTATGTTTAGAACTATGTTGCATTTAAGTGTAAGCTCTTTAGGTCTACAAGTAAACACAAAGAAAGAGTTAAATCTTTGCTTTGTGTTTTAAAAAATGCTACACAATCTTGTCAAGAACACACTGTTCAACTCCTGCAGGAGAGTAGAGTGCTGAAGTGGCAGCAGTGGTGGAGGTAGAATGAAATCTGCTCTTTCAGTCACCTCTGCTTTAGACTCTCAAGACTCACAATGGTGGTTCTCCTTCACCACACTTCATATTTACATAGCAGAAAACCACCCAAGCTCTGTCATGCATTCATAATGTTTTCCATTTCTGTTCTCCATGTGCGCTTTGGTGTACATCACTAATATAATAAATGATGGCTGGAGTTTATTGTCTGGGGAGCTGAGGTATGACACGGAGCACAATGTCTCATGCTCCGCCGTGTCCATCAAATCACTGTTCACTCATTTCCATCCCCTGAGTTTGAACATGTTGCATTATTTTGGTTAGCTCCTTCTGTGATCTGTATGAATGCTGGAGAGACTGGTTTCAGTTTCATACAAGAAAAAAGAAAAACTAAATATCGATATTGTACTGAGCTAATATGCACAAGTCATTTTTACAGATAGTTGCCATGGTTATGGTTAGTGGCTGATCAGATTGTTTCAAGTTAGCTCTAGATGTTACTATTAAATGCCATTAAAGACACATGTTTTAGTTGTGCCACAGTATTAATATACTAAACGCCATAATGATGTTAAAAATGTTAATGGTGAAATTTTGGGATATAATAGGCTACTTGTTTCAGCTGCGTGCATTGAAAATTAATGCATTTTAATGCAATGCAAATGCGTCAAAAAACCATAGTTCACTCTTTATTCTAGAAAGGCTTTTTTTTTAATAAATGAAAATCTGAAAAGAAAAAAGGAGCTTCAAGTCTCCAACATGCCAAGTTATCCTGAGTTATAAATATATAGTTATGCTGCTATAGGCTTAGATTGCTGGAGGACATACTGACCACTTTCCAAACTTTGCTACTTTCTCCTACCACTATATAATTGCACCTCTCCAAGTGTTTTTCTTTCCAGAAGACGCTACAATGATGTTCTCCTGAGCTGTGGTGGCCTCATGGAGGGGACTCGAGTCACATGACTTGAAATTGAGTCAGCCTTGAGTCATATATTTTAACGACTTCTGACTTGACTTAATACAATCTAAAAAGATTTACGACTTGACTCGGACATGAACGCCAATGACTTGTGAGTTGAATCGACTTGCTTCTGTTGACTTGTTGATGACTTGAGAATATTTGATATTTTAGCACAAAAGTGGCATGACATGGACAAAAATCATAAATCATTCTTGGTTCTGGGTTTGATTTACCAAAAGCAGCAGCACTTTGTTTAGAATCAGTTTCAGTTGCACTTTCTGCTTGTTTGAGCAAATAAATGAAGCTTTAAGAAGATGTATTTCTGGAATTTATTTATTATCATTGTCATTAAGTTGAAGTTGGACAGATGACTTGATTATGACTTGAAAATTCAAAGTTAAAGACTTGGACTTGACTTGGTTGTCTTTGACTTGGACTTGACTCGAGACTTGACTGAAAAGACTTGTGACTCATTTGTGACTTGCAAAGCAGCGACTTGGTCACACCTCTGGTGTGCACTATTGGTATCTGTATACACTAAGGTGCATTTTCTTCGTAGTCAGTTGCTCATCTTTAAAGATTTCCAAACCGGAATTGTCTCTTTTTCTGATGATTGAGTTTTTGGCAAAAATGTGAGCAAGCTTCTCATCTGGTTTCTGTATCTGTCAGAAATATCTGGGAACTCAGAAGACATCCCTTTGGTGCGCTGGCGGCAACAGTGGCTGGAGAACGGAACTCTCCTCTTCCACATCCACCACCAGGATGGGAGCGTAAACCTCCCAGAACCAACCGAAGACCCGGCCAATGATTCCACGAAGGAAGAGCTCCGCATTCTGCACATCTCTGTTATGGTAAGACATTTTTTGTGTTTAGGGACCAGGCATTTAAAAAAAAACAGGTTTAGAAAATCACAAGGATATTTTACATTCTAAATTAGGTAGGGAGTTTGAAAAAGTATATAAATGCATTCATTAAGGGGTGCAGGGATTAAAAAACATACTAAGTTCAATGTTTTTCTTCGCTGAGGTAGATTCTCCTTTTTTCTTTACTTAAAAGGCTTGTTTTTGTTTGCATGTCTACTCAAAGTTAAACAGCTGACTAAAGATTTTTCCCCATCTAAATGCCATAGGGTTAAGAAAAATATGTTTAATTTACAAAACTTTCCTGTGTATTAATTCTCACTCAGGTGCATTATGCACAGCCCATTAGTATACATTCACTGTCACTCAGCTGCCAGATTTATTCAAAATAAAACACACTTAACATCTATGGCTTCGTTTTAGTGAGCTAATGTGCTATTTGCTAAATAGAGCGAATAAAACAAAACATAGTGCACCTCAACTAAAAATGCAGGAGTGTCGTCGACTTTCTAGCTATCAAGTAGATTCTCATTTGTCCACTTTTTATATCAACACGGTTTTCTGGTGTTTATAGTACCAACTGCAGTGTGAAGATTTTTGCATGGGTGCCCCTGTATCGAACCTTATCTGCAATGTCGGCAGACTAGGAAATGAATCCTTAGAACTCTCCGCTTCCTCCTTTTGCCCGAGGAAATGTATATTTATTAGATGTAAGATATGCCACACCTACTCCCAGTGCCCTTTTCTAGCCCAAAGACATTACAGTCATGCTTTGATGGATGATATGTATTTTCAGACATTGAAAGCTTATTATAATCTGCATACACAAATGATTAGTCAGCTAGAGAGGACCGTTGCCAGCAGCTGCTTCTGCTACATGAAAGTATGAAGGCACAGCATCTTCAGAGCATGATTTAATGACACATAACTGGCCTTGTCCTGTCCTCTGCATGTTTTGCATGCATTAGCAAACATCATGTCACTCTGTTGGGTGTAGGAGGCAGTTTGGTGACAGCATATTTATTAAGTATTTTAATAATTTTGATGAGAATAAGAGGCCAGTGCTCGCACTCTACTTCTTACTTCCTTGACTTTGCGCTAATCTCACTTTTCGACTCACAGCTCTAACTGCATTTCACATCCCATCACACTCAAGTCGGTTTCTTTCTGCCTCTCCATCTGCTAATTCGTCATCCTTAAAGCGCTGCGGGGGCCGTGCCTCCTCAAAGATGCTTTCGTGAAGGTGTTGGTAGAGAAGGATTAGCATTCAGATACGAGCAGACCATAACGACGACAGATGGAAGCGGTGTTTCCACTGGGCTGCCCAGGCTCCACTGCAGCTTGCCACCCGACTGGAGGCCTCGACCTATAAATCCAAAGCTGTGTTACTTGTTCAGCTCCTCGTGGGTACAGAAAAAGGTCCTGTGAAGTCTGCTGCTCGTGCTTTTCATCCCAAGCTCACATATGTCGTGGGGCAGTTTTCCATTGATGGCGGCATTCGGAAAAGGTCGTTAATTGGAGGCATAAGGCAACATGGAGCATGCTGCAGTTGTGGAAATTCATTGTGTGTGTATGTGCGTGTGTCTGGCTTACCCATAACTTTTGTTACCAATATTATCATTTATCTTAACCATTAACTAAATTATGGTAACACCAGTATACTTGGAAAACTTGTCCTGAGACAGTTTCTTTCTTTTTTACGATCACTACTCTGATTGTGAGAAGAGGACAAGAAACCATTTTGACATTACAGGTTTCCACTTTAAAATTGCACTACTTGTTTTCCAGTGTCTAAATGGTATTGCACCATCTTAGTTATCTGAACTCCTGCATCTTTATTGTCCAACTACACGCTAAAGATCCACAAATCAATTGCTTTTCCACTTTTCAAAATTCTAACTCAGAACTAGAGGTGACAGAGCCTTTTTGGTGGTGGCTCCCAATTTGTGGAACAGCCTGCCTTTGAAAATTAGAGCTGCTCAGACCATTGATCATTTTAAATCACAGCTGAAAACCCATTTGTTCTCACTGACTTTTAGTTCTAGTTGAGCAGAATATCTTGGTGTGTGTTGCATATATTTAATTGATCTATTCTTTGGTTTCTAACTTCAGTTTTACTTGATGTTTAAATCTTTTATTAAAGTTCATTTAATTGCTACTTCATTCATCTTACTCACTGTTCGAAACTTTAGAAACTTTTTATAAATAAAGTTTAACTTTACATGCATTATGTCTGTATGCACACTCAAAAATGATTCTTGGCCCAAGTAAACACCAACTAATACTTTTATGTAAAATTTAACTAAAATTTACTAAATCTGAGTCGTTATTCATCTAAACAGTTGAACAAAGCAATGAAACTCACTATGTGTAAAGCTAAACTAAGCATGTTTAATAAACCCCACCCAATCTAATCACACTTATAGGACTTTTAATGAATTTGCTAGGGGGCAGCAAATCCGCAGTGTGAAATTTGCACTTCATCTGTACTGCAGAGGGAACAGGTCAGGGCTTTAACTTTCAAACTGGAGGAGTGGCTAAAGCATATCCCAGGAAAAACGTCTGATGTCTTAGTCCAAAAATGTGCAGATCTAGGAACAGCTAAGATACTGCACAGAACCCTTACACTCCCAGGCCTCTGATAGAGGACCAGAGCTTGGAAGCATGAGACCACCCAACAAGACTGGCTATGGATACCGACCACTGGTATCGGAATGTCATTTAAAATTGAGAAGTGTGGTCGGATGATGACAAAGAAAGGGAAGGTATTCCTTGCACAGTCCATGTGGTAAGTAGCAGCTATGCTAGAGGAGAAGATATTCTGTGGTGATGTCATATATGCGACGTGCCAGGTCTAAGTTGTAGTCATGCTAATTACAAAGTTTTACAAGCGGATAAATCTCAAAGTACGTGACTGGCGTGGTCGAAACAAACAGCATAACTTTTATTGAAATTGCAGTACAACATATGTGTGATCCAGGGCGTAAGGCAAAGCGGGTGAGAAAACAGCTCTTTTAGCCCCTGTAAAAACTGATCTTGAAACAGAATGGAACTATGGCTCGCTCTAGAGAGATGTTAAAATTGTCTGTTAGCACGCCAGCCAGCTGTTCAACATTGTCTCTGAGCACTCGCCCAGGAATGTTATCGGGCCCTGGAGCCTTCCGCAGGTTTACACTCCTTAGTGTCCTTCGCATATCAGCTGGGTCAAGACAGAGCACTGTTTCATCCTGGTCAAGAACAGCTTTCTCTACTGCGGTGTTCTTTAGTGTCTCGAATCTTCTAAAGAAGGCATTTTAAGGTATTTAGAAAGAAAACCCATGTCATCCTAACACGTAGAACCATGTATGCCGACTGAATGAGTCACATCTTCAGCACTTAAAAGCTGGCAGATGAGCCAGACTCATCGTTAGTTAGGTTAGAAGGAGAAATCTGAATAAATGGACTCAGTTCTAAGGCCAGAAAACCTTTTTCTTTCTACTTAAGCCAATATTTAACATTAACTTGTAATTATTTAAGTTTTTATTAACTTTACTGGTTTAATTTTAAAGATTGAGTCAGTGTGGGTTTTCTTACTTTTTTTTTTATTTGCTTTCCGAACCATGAAGCTGCCTTGTACTGCGTTCAAAGCTTCTCCCTTTGCCATCACATCAACAAGGTGACCAGTGTGTCCTCGGCTGGCTGCAGCTGGCCATCAATAATAGATGACTAACCTTGTGTATGTCTTCACCTGCACCAGGTGAGACACTGACTGTTCAAACGTGAATTCAACTTCAGTTTGAACCCGACAGGCACAGACGGTTGGAAAGTAAGTCCCCAAAGTCGGAAATGCTGAATAAAGGCACTTTATTTTAAAAAGAGCATCATTGTCTGTGGTTTATCTATTGAGACTCCTAAGTTCCAATGTATCTCCGCTATGCACATTTCTCCCCTTTTAATTTACAAATTTTAATCAGTAGCTGCTTTGCTACAGGGCCTCCGTGGATCAATCCAATCAGCACATGCAGTATGGAGGCATCCAGACCAAACTGAGACAATTACATTATATGATTGCCTAATATTTTCAAGCTCAGGGGCTAGATTTGATGTTTTTCTCCCATAGCGATTCTGTTTCAACTCTATTGTTTTTCCTTAGAGGCCATAAAGCAACCTTTTTACTTTGTGCTATCAGTGTAGAGAAAGGAAATCATTAAAGTAAATATGAAAGAGAGAAAAAAGTAAAATGATGAAGTGTTTGTGTTTAAATAAATAGTTTCAAGCAGAAAAGTTCAGGTTTTGAAATGGTCTATTTTGCTGTATAGGATAGTGTACAGTTTGGCCAGAATAGGCAGCTTTGGTCGAAGGCTTTAGCTGTGCTGAACTTCTTGAGGTGTGAAGTTTACTGATGTAGAAAAAAGCAAACAGCCTAGAATGTGAGGAGCAGTCCACACACACACACGTGTGTGTGTGTGTGTGTGTGTGTGTGTAATCACCTTGCCTATGTATCAATTGCCTTTATTGGAAAAACATTTTAATTTACCTACTGAACTGAAAGTCAGCTTTCTCGTTCAAAAGAGCTTCAGTGAAAGCTGATTTCAATCAAATACTTTTATTGAACTGCAGTGCATTCATAATGTCAGCTTCTTAAACACACACACACACACATGCTATCGCCAAACATTTTGTAGGAAGGAATAGTTATTGTGACTCCTCTCAGCTCTTAGAGATATCGACATGTGACCCTCCTAAAACCTGCCTTAATAACATCGATCGTATAAACCTTGGATCAATGTTGCCCTGTCCACTTGTAAAGGAGCAGCCTCTGATGAGTCCCAGCCCCCAGAGGGGCTCTCTGAGCATCACAGCGTGGCCTGTTTTTGAAATGTCTGCAGAGCGAGACAAATCAATCCATAGCTTCCCTATGAGATGTCAGGATTGCACTCTGTCTGTAATACCACTGAATATCTGATGCAGACATGATTTGGCTTCACAGCAAGAAAACATTCTAAACTAAA